TTGAAATATCCAACACATCTATGGGATTTTTATTTGTAAAGAAAACGTATCAAATTTCTGCTAATTTACTTTTTCGTAAATTCCAAATAAAACACTGAAGTTTGTGGTTGTAAAATGACAAATTTCCACTGCTGTCAAAACTCGGTTTTAACTCTTTTCATTACTAAAACAGGTTATTGATGAGAAATCTAGAACTGTGGAGCGTAGAGTATGAATATTGTATGCCCCGGGTGAAAGACATCTACTGCCTATTCTATCACATTATACAGAGTCTCTTGAGATGGCATTTTGTTTCAGATTGGTGCTACATAAATAAAACTGACAAGAATTGAATTGAACTTGTCAGCTTTGCTGTGTTTCAGGGAGTCACTGTGGCTCTGCTCAGCCATGCTCAGTTAATCAGAGCAGCTTTATGACCCAAAACTTCTGACAAGGTTACATTTATCATGTTGGTTCTTTTCTTTATCATTCATCCAATTTTCATCTGGCATTTTCATTTTTGATTGAAATCTGCCAGTTATGCTCATTTCTAAAAGTCTAAATTTGGTATAAATCTGTATGACATTTTAACTTAATTATAATCTTAAGTTTCGCAATATTATTTAGAACATTGTTACTCTTTTCAACAGATAGTTTGAGCATGCTTCTCCAAAATAAAGAATAAAAAAATCGTGATTGTTGTCTGACTAGTGTAATCAGTTTGGACTAATCGTCCGTACAAAGCTGAGCACATTTTGACTTCACCAGCATGCAGGCAGCTAATGAGCTTACAAATATATAAATGCCAGGAATGTAATGTGATCAATCAAGAGTGAAGTTAAAATAAACTGTAGAAAAATACAAAAAGGCTTATTTACTTATTTCGTTTAACTTACAGTTCAAAATGAACATGCCACATGTCGATATACACAAAAGACAATTAAACACATTCAAACATCCAGATGCATCTTTAAGCACAAAACAGGCAATGTCTATATGTTAATATTATAATAGTAAAGAAAAAACATGTATAATATTTATAATGACACTGAATTGATATGCTCATTATAAATTTAATGTTATATTCTACTATTTTGTTGAAAGTAAATATTGATCTATTCTCTGTTTTCTTTAGACAGATTGTACTACAGATTTGTTGCATAAACAGAAATACAACGTTCTGATCCTCTCAAATTATCAAATGATTTATACTTTTCATAAATCGTTTTGCAAATGTGTTGGTAATACACTGCTATGTATTTTAAACATAACTGGCAGAATACAATAGTCCACCAAGTTATGCAATGTCATTGATTTTAAGTTGAAGAACAACAGATTTGTTGGATTACTGTAGCCTAAGGCACAGAAAAGACACTTCAAACACAAAAAAACATCCAAATTTACCATTAAAAAAATCCAAACAAAAGGTTTTTGTTGGTGTCCTCTCATAAAAGAAGTGGTGACTGATTCACACCACACAGCTGTGATTTCAGTGAAGCTCTCCATGTCATGGTCTATAATCATTTTAAATTTTCAACGATCTCCTCTGTGTAAAGTGTTTTTTAGAAAGCTCAGTTTTCTCAGCAAAAATCCAGTTTGCATGTTGACAACGGGTGCAGTACCAAGTCTTGTTCAGAAAGTCTCTGTGGTGCAGAGAGGATCTAACAACTTGTGAATGTCCCTCTGCTGCAGCACACCTGAATCAAATGGCTGAATGACGTCTTGGCATCATTTGATTCAGGTGTGTCGGAGCAGTGATAAATCTAAAAGTTCAAAGTTCAGGACATTGGACTTGAGTTGCAGACCCATAAGGTAGTGGTGATGGAAATCTTGTTATTACACAAAAATATTCACTGTTTGTGGCTATTCTCCTCTTTAGGATGCAACTTTAGAACTAAAAACGTTGATAATAGTCAATTAGTTCTATTATGAGCTAGCGGGTTGTTAGAGGGGTATTTACTCAGGATTGTTTTTTATAGCCTTACTTGCTAATTTCTGCAGCTTTTGGCTGTTTTTTTTTTCAAGCAGCATAAACAATGCACATTTCTGCTGCTAGTTTTTTTCCCCATCCCTCAAATTTCCCTCCTACTGCAGGAAAAAGCTTCTTTCATCAAGCTGAGTATTACATCCAGTACGTGGGGTGGCATTACTTTAATCTGCATACAGTTACACCAGCTCTCTCAGGAGCCTGTCAGCAGATCAACGAGCCTCAAGTGCAGGCATGAAGACTGGAAGTAGAGGTGGTTCAAAATATAAATGCTTGAATAATAAAATTTATGGTGAAATAAAAAAAGAGACTGCAGTTCACTAAAACTGGAACGCTCCAACCACTGTTCTAATGGAAAACCAGGTTGGCTTGGGTCGATTTTTCCCCTTTTTGTGTTAATTCAGGTTATTTTTGTCTGATATTATCATTTGAGTGTGATTTTTTTTTAAAAAAGGAATTGGTACACTTTTTCACAGCTTGCAACTTGCTTAAATCTTTCTTTCAAACATATAGCACAACATAAAAGTACACCGACGATGTCTGTTTCAACATTGTTGATGCACTTTTATGTTGGTCTGTGTGCTTGAAATGCCTGACTGCAAAACGAATTCCCCCTTGGGGGACAATAACGGGACTGAACTGATCTACATGATGGCTGGGGGAACGTGGTAGACTTTTTTATGTGTTAAAACATATTGACTCATGTTTTAGTAGTATTATTATATTTGTATTGTTTACATGCTTTGGTCTTGCTTTCATGGAGACCGAGAAGAGAAGAGAAGAGACGTAAAGTCAACATTTTTCTTGTCATGAGCCACGGACGATTCTCGTCCCATCATCTTACTCATATTTAAGAATATAATTAAGAGAATAACGACTTTAAACTCTAGAAACACAAAGTTTTGAAGTAGTTTTATAAGACTTTGGTTTACCTTGATCCTTGGTAAAATTCAATATAATTTACTTCTGTCAGATAAATGATTTACTGCTTTTTGTGTCTGACAGGCAGTTCAAAAGAATAACATACAAGCTGCCTTTTTATCTTGGGAAGCAGCAGGCCTTTTCGTTATTCTCATAGTTCTTTTAAAGTCAGATGTGAAATGGATAGAACAATAAATAAATGAATATCTACAGACATAATCCTGACTGGTACTGGTTCTGGTTGGTGTTTATTTTACGCTCGCCTTGTCTTAAATGTGTCCATCTCATTTTCACAGCCTCTTTTTGTTTTCATTGTCTTGTGCAGGAAGGGAAGCCCAGAAGCTCTGCATGCTCTCTAACAATACCTGAAACTCATTTACATTCATTAATAAATAAATAAACATAATTCTGTGTTTGTTTTCAGAGGCGAGTCAGAGCTTCTGATACGCCTCTAAAATAAAGCAGAAATGGACGTTTTCTATAAACATTTTAGTGTTCAATGAACCATCAGGAATGATATGGTGGAAACAAACACCTTTTGTTGTTTTTGTCTGATAAAATAGTTTGAAATTAGGCTGTGGTATTCCATTTACCCAGTCAATAAAAAATATTTCCCATTATAAAAAATGTTCATCTCAGCACTTAATGTTCATTAGCTTTGCTGGTCACCCCAGACTATTTGCTGCGGCCCTTTCTCCTTGTGACACAGTTTAGCGCGTCATCTTTGCTGCAGGTGCAGGACGTGCTGCGTCTGTATGTGTGTCAGCACACATGCGTGTATCCGTTCAGGCCCAGGAGGGTGTGTGTTTTCTTCCAATGCAGATCTGCGTTATTGATGGGCTTGTCCCGTACTCTTCTCTCCATGACCCAGTTCTCGTGCTCTGACGCCCCTTGCTCATTTCTTCCCTGCAGCAAACGCATGTCGCCAGAACAGCAAGAAAAAAAAGAGACATTAGCCAAAAAGAAAAGAATGCTGGTGCGTTTGAAATTAAAAAGATTACACGGTTTTGCCTATTTAAAACTCTTTAGTTGTTTCTTTATATTTTGATTCCTGTGACTCATCCAGGCATAAGTTCCTGAACTGGAGGGATGAACCTGTGTTGTTAGGACACTCAAGAGAGCAAGGAGTCCTTTTAAGTTGAATCTCTTGCACTTTGTATACAAAAATAGTATTTTAGCACCAAAAGTTTGATTCCAAAGGAGCTATCCAAGGTCTCTCTGATCTTTTGTTGGGTCTATGTTGGATTGATTTCTGCTTCTTACAGAATTGATTTTCAGAAACAGTTCTTGTATTGGAAGTCAATTTTCAGGGCTGACATTTCTTTTGTCTTTTACCTGTCTACTTTCCTTAGATTGCTTAAGCACTCTATATCAGGCATAATATTGTGACCACTCGTCTAATAGTGAGACAAAAAAGACTGAAAAAAGACTGAAAAAGTCACCAACCATCATCTTCCTAAGCTTTGTAATAATGCTTAGGAAGATGGTTTGAACCAAAGTAGAGTCACACTAATCTACAAACACACGATTGTCTGGCCTTCTCATACTCACTGAACACCTTCCACTGCCTGTTTTTGGGGCGATGGTAGTTCAGCAGGTAGGAGTTCATCCTGTAACCAGTCAAAGAGCCCGGTGCCACCATCAGTGTGTGATTGACTGCAGAGCTTTGGAGTCCTCTGACCTATTAAAGCTCTATACAAGCACAGACCAGTTACCATTTCTCCTGCTTCTAACACGTCACCTCTGATGAGGAAATGTTTGTTTACTGCCTAATCTCACCTACTAACAGATGCAATAGATTATCTGTATTATTTACGTCGTATGTGAGTGGTTATATTGTTGACTGACAGATCTATACTGGAGAAAAACTGGGGAGATAATTAGCGAGATCCAGCTAAAGTCCAAAGGTGCCTGTTGACCAGATTCAACATAAAGTTTGGTTTCTCTGAGCCAAAGGTAAAGAAATCAGAGGCGCTTTGTAACTTAGTAAGTGGTGAAGTGACGACTGTCTGATAAATGGTCGTTTTATATTTGCATGGTGCCGTTTTTGATCATTCAGTGACTTTTCTTGCTGAAGCACTTCACTGATCTGGGTTCTGTCTTCTCCCTGCAGAGCTCCTTCCTCGGTAGCGCTACCTTTTCCATCGGGGATCTGCTGAGGGCTAAAGATGGACGACTGACCTTGAGCCTGAGGTGAGAGCATGTTACTTTCATTCTCACTTTTCCGTTTCGCTTCTTAGAGTCTGCTGATTAAGAACTGGCAGATCAGCCTGAACATGACACCGAGTCAGGAAGAGAGAGCTTTCCACAGATGTTGTAACAGCAGGGGTGTTGCATGAGCTGCCACAGTTGTTTGCTTCAGACATGTTGTGTTAATATCAGGGAATGCAGGTCCCTCATCTGGGTTGTCTTTCTTTTTTCAGCACATAGGAGAGGAAATGAATGTGTCTCTAGAAGAGTTTGAATAAAATGTAAGGAAAGCCTTAAAAAAAGGGCAAAAATGATTGTTTAGGGTCAGGTTTCTACGAGACAAGTTTCTCTGAAGATTTGTTTTGCACCAACGTTTTTAAAGGTCAGCCAACAGCAAGAATCTGCTCTTTGCTTATATTTATTAGCAGAGTAAGAAAACTGAGGCATTATGCAAACATTATGCTTCATAGTGATAATTTTGCAAAAATAAAAGTTCAAAACATAACTGAGGTGTTTTGAGGTGGCTCAGGGAAGATGTTAGTTTAGATTTAGATATTATTTAACATAATTTAAATTTATCTTGGATGTATTCAGTTACTTGCAAAAAGCAGTATATAACTAATGTATTTACTGGGATTTTATTTAATGGAGCAACACAAAGTGCTGCATTAATTTGAAGTGGAAGATGTTTTTAGAGCATTTCACTCATAAAAATCTGGAAAGCTTCTATTTTCATCCACCTTTATATTGATACCTTGAAATGAAATCCAGTGCAAACATTTGCCTTCAGAAGTCTTATAAAGCACCTGTTCATAGTTTCATCTCAATATAAATCAAGCTATTCTGAGAGAGAACATTGTTGAATAAATAATAGAGAATAATAGATAAAATAATAGAGAATTGGTAACTCTGGAGAAGCTGCAGAGATTCACGGTTCAGGTGGAGAATCTGTTTATATGGCAACTATCGTTTATGCTCTCCACAAATCTGGCCTTTATGGGAAATTCACAAATAGAAAACTGTTGTTGAAATTAATTAGACTTTTTCAAATAAATTTAGACGTAGCAGTGAAATCTGCTCAGGTTTTTGCACCTGTTTTCCTCCTGTTTGGAGGGATAACAGTGCAGCATCGTTTCCAAACTGTGACTGATGCTGCAGATTGTATGGCAATGGAATGATTCATACACAAAAAATATAGATTCAATTAAAAATATATATCATATTGTAAATTATCATATTCTAATCTATACAAATAAAATAAAAAAATGTCCTACCTTTTAGAAGTTGGTGTTGACTAAATGCTGTTTACTTCTGCTGAAATTATTATTATTTTTGATTATTTCTATGGGAAGGGCTGGCTGTGTACATGCTTACCAACATTATTTGCAAAGCGAGGAAACTTGCTTGTGTTGAGATTTCCATAAATAGAAATAAATATGTGCGGCTCCCCCCTAAATGCATACATAATGTCTCATTCAAACGCTGGCAAACTGCATCGGTGCAGAGAGATTCTGTTTCCTCAGTAGAGCTGTTCAGACCCTTGTCTCTACTTCTACAATTAGAAGAACAAACAAGATCCGGTTTGCAGACATTGATGATCCACAGAAAGCTTTGTGAATCTGCCATAAGTGCAGAGGATGGGTAATTCGGTTACTTGATTCAGATATTTTGGACATGTTCTAAAACGTCCAGGACTGAAGTTGGAGACCACTGGATTAAATGAAAAACATGAGATAAATCCACGTGAGAATCTGTGGCGTAATTTGAAAGTTGATGTTCACAAACAATCTCCATCTGATCTTTTTGAACTTGAGATCTTTAGCTAGAAGAATGAGCCGAAATGCCAATCTGTGGATGCACGGATTCATCAGGGCAGAATTTAAATACATTCCACACTATTCAGATTTTTACTTATAAAAAACATAGAAACAATGTATCGGAATCGATCATATGCTACTTTTTGTTGAGCTACCACATTATATCACAATAAACATGATGGTATAATGTGACAAAATGACTGATTGATTTCCAGCTGCCAGTATTGGTGACGATCTGCTGACCATCAGATCATGTGGTTTGTTGAAAACTTTCCCAAATTTTCCAAATCGATTTTTACAAATTCTCACCTTGAACAAAGAAAGTGTTAGTATTGTTCATAGTGGCAGACCAGAAGGAAAATGTTTCTGCTCCAACCTTTGAGTCATCTTTCAGACAAATTAAAGATGTGTTGCCTTCTTGAAGCAGAGGCAGTTCTGTGACAGCAAAGTAATCACAAATGGTGGTCTTGAGCGATAAACTGGATTGCCTTGGCTGCATGGATGGAGGTGAAGGTCAGCAGGGTTACCATGGGGACCAGGAGCAAAATCCCATATACTGGATCAGAGAGGGCAGTCGTGGTGATGCTATGTTGGATATTCCTAACCGTAAATAAATGTTCATTTGGTCTTTGACGTTTGTAGATTCTCAACTTTCTGTTTGTGTTTAGCCAACTGACACAAAATAAGACGCATGCAAAGAGTAGAACAAAATAAGCATAATGTTTTATTGCTGGATAAAACAGTCTTTATTTCCGCAGCCACTTTTTTTCCTTCATCTTCAAGCTGTCAGTCTGTGTTCATCCTGACTCTATTTCCTTTTCACTTTGCACTCTAGTCATATCTGGAAATGTGTTCCATCAGCCATCTCCTCTCATTATGTGCCTTTTTTTTCTAATTTGTTGCGCCATGTTTTCCATTTCCTGTAGGTGATCCCTAGTCACCAGGCTTAATTGTATCTTGCAAGACTATAAGAGATGCAGTCAGGAAAGAAATTACAACCTCATTCCCTCATGTGTGTTTGCATATTTGCTCTTATGTAGAGCAGAGAGTTAACAAAGCTGGGATTGGTTCTGCAACCACTGGAAAGAAATGTACAAATATTAGTTTTTACACAAAAATTACAGATGTGACACAAAACTATTTCATTTCAAACAACTCCTCTCCAACATACAAGAGAGGAGTTAAATTGTTTATTAAACAAACTCACTAAGTCAGTAGCACTCAACTAAACTGCTTAGAAAAATATAAAAGAGTGATGAAATCAGTAAATGACTAGAAACATTAAAAATATACAACAGCTTCCGTAGTTTAGCCAGCATTTAGCTTTTGAGAAAATGGGACACTTAGCACATTTTTATGACTTTTTTAAATACCCTAGTGGCAATAAAGGGAAAGAAAATTTCCATAATATGAAGTAAACTTGCGTTGTATGGTTAAAATGACTATCAGTCAATAACCTCATAAAACGCTGTGTTAATTGCAGGCAACATGACCTGCAGTTGGAAGAAAGTTTTGCTTGCAGAAAACAACAAAACGCTGCTAATTTGTCTCAGACAGAAGCCTTTCTTGAATGGTTATCCAGCCAGCAGGCCATACTGTCTTGTTTTTTGGTAATTCTCAAAGGTTTGGTCCAAGTAAACAGGGTCTTGGGAAGGGAAGTTCAGAAAGAAAGTGTGGAAACTATGAGTCAATTCAGTTTTAACAATTACTCAAAAAGCTGAAAAACTGAGGGTTTTTCTATACAAGCAGAAAAGAAAGACGAGAAAAAAACCAGCTGATGTTGTGCATCCAGTTTGCCTTTCTGTTGCCATTGTTGGAATAAATGTGTTAGTCTGAGTGAAACATGCGTAAACACACACAGACCCACAGAGCAAATGTCCCACATTTGATGTGCAGTTTGCTTGTTGCTTCATCCAGAGAGAAAACATTTGGATGACGAGCAGCTTTACATGCATCTATACTGTATGATTCACTCTAGGCTGTTTGACCTGTGGAAGAGTTGATGACTCACACTACAAATTAGTTCTGCTGGGCAAGCAGCGCAGGAGCTGCAGCACTGACATGGGCAGGAATGCAGTTCAGTGTGCACAAACAGATGCTTCATTTAAATATAATGTCCTAATCCCCACTCAGCCAGTTGTTGCAGAAAGTCGGTTAATTTGAGCTGCTTCGCTCAGCACAGAGAATTTGGGGCCGCTTTATCTCCACAAAGCAAGGATTGATTCCCTTCAGTGCATCTCCAAACCAATATGGCTCTGGCCAACTTCTTTTCATAAGCTTTGGATTTGCATTGCTTGCGAGCATATGTGGAGAGAAATTGGTATTTGACTAGCACCACTGAGAATATGTGATTTTCCTTTTCTTTCTTTGTCCCTTCAGCGAAGTTTGCTGTGCTACCGGGCTGTCTGGCTCAGGGCTTATTCCTTATTCCCATGAATTTTCTGCATTTCAGCTGCTCTCTCCGGTCTCACGCTCACTTTCATGTGAGACTGGTTAGGATGTTTGTCACGGATTGTTTTTGTTTGCCGTGTGACACGACCAGTTTGATTTGGGTCACTTTTCTGAGCGGTTCCTGACAGTGTCGTGATGAATGAGTAGGAATGTGGGATGATGGTCCGTCTCTACCGTAGACATCAGAGGCCATTGAGATGATAATAAGATTTTACCTTTTCTGCATGTGTCAAGCAGTGTTGACTTGAACATAAAAGGAAAAAGGCAAACCAAAATAATTGTTGTCTGTCTGTTGATTTAAGAACAGACATGTAATGCAAAATTACAAAAGATTACCAAGTATTTCTGGTCCAGTTTCTAGTACAAATATATCAGCACGCTTGAAATTAAACAAAGCTAACTTGCAAGTAGCTTTTCTGCAAGTTGGAGCTAAAAACGGGCAACATTTTCCTGTTTTCGGTGAATTGTAGCCTCAGTTCCCTGTTGGTGTTTCACAGCAGTGTGTGGTCTTCAGCTGCTGTAGCCCACCTGCCTTCAGAGATGCTCCACATAGCCTGACTTCAATGAGCTACTGTTGTCCATCTTCCATCTTAAATTTATCAGTCTTTTCTCCTCTGACAAGTCCTATTTTTCTACACAGTCATTTTCATCTTTTGATAAACCAAAGTGATAATTGTGTCCAAAAAAAACCAAACAGAAAAACAGAATAAATCACCAGTTTTCTCAGATACATCC